GGGGTAATTATATTATATTAGAATTAAATATTTAATAATAAATTGATTTAATAATTTATTAATTATTAATTAAAATTTTAAAAAACCTGAATTGTGAATTTTCAAACTTGTTTTTGGATTTTTGAAAGGAGTAAAAGTAAATACCTGATTTGTGTATTGTTCCCTTGATTAATTTAGTTTTCAACTTAAAAAAAATATTATATTTATCCATTTTTTACTGGTGGATAGACAAGAGTGGTAATAAATGGGAGAGAAAAAGATAGTGAATTACCCGAAAAATAAAAATAACCACTCCCTGAACAAAAAATTTTTCATTGTTTTTGAAGAAAATATGATCATATAATCAAAAATTGGAAAATATTTTTCATGATAAAAATTGTCAATCAAACACCCAAAAAGTAAGAAATTGAGTGAAAATGACATTTTTTGACATTTTCCTTAAGCGAACAAATCAACAAAGCCCAAAATATTATTTCAATGAATAATTAAAAGTTGCAAAAATTCCGGCAGGAAAATGACATTTTTTGTATACATTTTCCTTAAGCGAACAAATCAACACAGCCCAAAATATTATTTCAATGATTAATTAAAAGTTGCAAAAATTCCGACCTGCCGGATTCGAACCAGCGACCTAAGGATTACAGCAACGACTACAGTCCTCCGCTCTACCAACTGAGCTAAGGTCGGTTTTAATTAACGGCATTCATGACATAATACTTGAACAGAAAGTTTAGTAGATTTAAGAATTCATCACAATTTTATTATTCTGAGCTCTCTCTAAACTGGAAAGTTACCACTTTGGTGCAAATAATTTTTTTTTTTTTTAAAATCAGCATTCTAAATACAAACACGTGAATGATTTGAGCACATCCCAATTTCAATGTGCCGTGTCATTCCGGCAATTACTAAAATAATTTATCCAGTACTTTATAATCTTATGTTTAGTTCTGAAATTATGGATTAAATAGTTTAGAATTCAAGTATAATATGTCATAACCAAATTACATAATATTCAATGAGATTGCAGTACAGATTAGTTCAATTTATACATTACTCCATCGTAATTGGAAAAAATAATCTTTTATTCGATATCACAAATATAAATTAACTACCTATATAAGAAGCGGCAATCATATTATTGATAGTCAAACGTAAAAGAGATGAGTAGCTCGAAATATCGTTCAGATATAATTTTTCTGGTACCAAATTCATTCAAGCTCTTTCAAAATGCTCACAAGTTTATGCATGGTCGAATGGAAAACAGCTTTGCGACTTCATTAACAGAGCTAAATAAAGCAAACACAGAGAATCGTAAGTTTGGAAATAAATTTCGAATTTTGTTATTCAATTTATAGTCCTAAACAGACATGTTCATCTGTCTATATAACGAAGACTAACGGTTTGTTCTAAACTTCCAAAGTTTGAATCTCTGTTATCATTTCATCTATCAACAATTTCTCAATTTCGTTACCTATCACGTCGATTTCCCCTTTGAATCCAAACCATTGCATATCCCTGTCAAGTATTGTTTCCGGTGTTTTACTTATGGCTTGAAAGTCTTGGTGGGAAAGCATCTTCTGAAGACGGTCTCTGATCACTTGCTTTGGCCCCTTCAAATCAACTCCCATTAGTTTTGGCATAACCCACGGGGAGGAGTCAACGAGCAGCTGATTAACTTCTACAATTGTTGAATTTATTCTGTCAAATAGCAACCTCCTTTCAGACCTTGACTCCATTTTCTCTTCGCTATATTTCTTCTCAAGGTTATCAAACAACTCAGGATGCAAATAGCATTCCGGGGAGTGCCATGTTGTTCTAAAGAAATCAAGGTCAGATTCTTCAAAACCCAAGTTGATCAGCACATCACGAACATATGAAGCTTCCCAGACTTCGGATCCTCTCTCTTGGTTTTGCTCTGAATCCATTAACAAATGTTGTGCACCGTCTTCCTCACTTGAAATAAGTGCAGGTACCTCGGGATATGCTCCTGATTCCATCTTGAGGAGCTGCAGCTGCATTCGCAATTCTACAAGAAAAGGTACATAAAATTTTACAATTGTAGTAGAATATAAAAGAGTTAAAAAAGGCATTCATATCAGAACAAAAGAGAACGAGTGTACTGCGAGAATGAGCATGGACGACTGAAGCACATGACTCTAGTAAAGCAAAATACGTCCGTAGAAAATTCTACAATCACAAGGACGCAAAGATGGAAGAACCTGTACATATTCAGACAGATTAACTATTTGTGATCTGTATACAGTAGTGGATCAAACACTACTATATGCCATTCACAAAATGACTATAAGAATCGTGGTTAATATTGAAGGCTTTAGCAAACAATGTGTAAAATTCAGAATGGTGGGGTTGAAATGACAGAAAGGAAGTACCAGTCTCTGTAAACAATGGTTAAATAGACAATATACTGCTACCGTGTGTTTGAACTAAATCTCAGGGATTATTTTCATTGGCACCATTTAAACTTAGGTTATGCTCCTAGTAGAAGGTGAAAAGATTATAAAAGGTCATTCCTTTCCCTACATGGAAAAATTTTAATCACCTTCAAATAATTTTTCTTGTAATTCACTCAAGCCAAATGACGATGCTCTCTATAGT